TACTGATTTATTAAAAGTAGCATAGCCGCTGCTGAATTTCATCTTCTAATATCGAAAAGTAGATTGGTCATCAATATCTATAACCCTAGGCTATGAACTCACTAAGAGATTTAAGATAAACTCGTAATCATTGCAATTTAGAGCTTCATTTTGCATCCAGTGGTCTGCTATAATTGTAGGTATTTTGAATCAGACCTTAAAAAACAGTATAAAATCTCAATCAAAAAAAAGAATTTTTAAATATCTTATCAACTTATTTCATTTTCTCCCCTTGGTCCATCAATGACAACAGTCCCATGCATGACTCTCCAAGATGCATTCCAGAATGGCCCCTAGGAGGAGGGTATTTGGACAGATGCTGCGTGACTATCGACAGCCGAGACCATATCGTGCTGACGCCAGTTTCACCTCCTGGTCCACCAGAATCATTGAACTCTTTTGGACACTTCAGGAATGGTTGGAACTTCAGTGCAAACGGCAATCAGAGTACGAAACTAGGAAAAGCAGGTGACATTTTGAATTGGGTTTATCGTCCTCTTTTTCTCCAACTGATGGGATTTTTACCAGTTAATCTGGAGTAGGGCACTGAACCAAAAATTGACGACTTGTCTTTGTTAGACTTGGGTTAACCTCGTTTTCGCAACTTGGTCTTGTTGTCGCGGCGACTTAGTAGAACGCACCTATTCAGAATTCCTCTACCATAATACTTATCATAATTCCTGGCATCAGACCGTGCACTTCGTAATCAGCATATTTAGTGAGTGTTGCCACTCTCCGCACCAAGCTACGAACTCATCAAAGAGACGTCTGAGACTGTACCAAGTCCACGTTTTGATGTTGGGAATTATGGTAACTACTATGACAGAGAACTTTGGACAAGGTGCGTTCAACTAAGTCGCCCCGAAACAAGATCAAGTTGTGATAACGAGGTCAACCCACTTCTATAAATCGAAAGGAGACTGCGACCATACGGAGGACCACACCATCATCATCATCATCATCAGAGCTGTAACTCATCCTTGCAAAAGCCTCATTTTAACATTGGGACAAGAAGACTATCCGGCTCTATCTTATCTCTTATATAAAGTCAATTAAAATATTAAGGAAGGTATGAAGATCAAGATTGTGTGGCCTTTTGTGTGGTCGCAGTCTCCTTTCGTTGTATAGGGTTGTTTGACTTTGTTTTCGCATTTTGGTAGGAAGACTTAGAGGAACACACCTAGTCCGGAGTCCATTGTATGCATGATCATTTCCAAAGTCGAACTGTGGACGTGGTATATTCCTAAACGTTTCGCCGGCATCGTAATCGGCATCGTCAGTGGGTATCTCCATTCTTAGCACCACACAACAACTCGTCAAAGAGACAAGTGAAGCCGATCCTTTGACCAAACGTGTGTTAAACAGCTGTGGTATCTCCCCGTCTGCTCTGAGCTATTCACATTTCCTATATCCTCCTATCACACCTTTACTGTTACCACAATAGTTTAGCACACGTTTGGTCAAAGGATCGGCCTCACTTGTCTCGTTTTACGAGTTGTTGTATGGTGCTAAGAATGGCGATGCCCACGGACGATACCGACTACGATGCCGGCGAAACGTTTGGGAATGTACCACGTCCATGGTCCTACTCTGGAAATGATGATGCAGACAATGGACTCCGGACTATATGCGTTCCTCTAAGTCTTCCTGCCAATATGACCATGTTGCGAAAACAAGGTCAAACACTCTCTAATATTAAGGAAGTTGTCGGACTATGGACGCTGGGAATTATCATTAGGATAGCAGAGGACAAGATGCAGCCAACTAGGCCACGCTGACAAGACAAACAATTTAGGAAAACGGTTCAGATTACTTGAACACACGGCGAAAAAAGACTGTGACCAAAATAGAGGCCGCAAAATTTTGGTCGTCATAGCTACGATGAAAATATTAGGTATATGAAATTTCAAATCCAAATTTATATTACGGCCTGGATACAGTTAAAAAGGCTGGCTGTCAGAGGTTATGTTATCGGTTTAGGAAAGAAACAGGGAGGCTATGATACGTAAATTGCCAAACTAACCTACATATCAGGTGTAGTCACCGTAGTTCGCTTAAGGTGAAAAGGTAACTGGTAATTGAATTTTCCCATAACCATATGATTAGACCTTACGTTCCCATTGCATTTCACAGTCTTTCTTTCCCAAAAGGTATTCTCATGCAGGCTGGACTACATTTCGACCCCTCATAGATCTCATAAGCCCACACAGCTACTCATGGAATTGTGAGAAAATTTAGCTACCAGTCCTTTTATCACATTAAACGAAACAGGGTGAATACATATCACATGTATGATCTATCGGTAGTATAATAAACCTGCTTATAAGAGAACGAATAAACGAACTTGTCTAGAAGTGGGTTGACCTCGTTGTCGCAACTTGGTCTTGTTGTCAGGGTGACT